GATCACCAATTCATGAAACTCTTGATTGTTAAACAAATTCTCCTCATCAGCACCTTTGGAAATGTACAGAGAATAGTATGGAGAATATGTATAACAATATTAAGGTGTAAAGGGTTAATACCTGAAGGCGACGCAGTTGAGCTGTTCTTGATTGAATCTTAAAATATGGTTCGACAACATGCTGTTGAATTCTGGTTAAAGTGGAAAAGTCAGTTGATTATACATCACTGAAAAAGATTATCATGTAACCCACTAAACTGATTACTTCCAATGAATAGAATTAACAAGAGCACTGAAATCTTGCCTTTCAACAGAAGCCTTCAAAGAGTTTATTCTGGTTTGCATCATCTGTAGAACACCTAATGAGATAAAAAATTTCTTATATAAATTTATCATAAACAAGAGTGTTAGTTACAAAAAAGTTTGATAAAGAAGAAAATAGAATTGTCTCTATATTCAGAAAGCAAGTTACACTGTTTATAGCATCATTTTTAGCTCTTTTAAAGCTTGCTAGTATGTGGCATAATAAAAGAGCTTATAATACTCTTCTAACATTAAGAATAAGTAAATTATTACAAATGTATTTACCAATGATTAAAAAAGTGCCTGTTGCTTACCTTCCAGTGTTTCAATTCCTGTTGCCTGTTGCAAAAGATCTTCATGGTGTTCAACAACCTAGAAAATAATAAAAAGCTTATTAAGTCTAATAACAACTGAAAAGGAAGATTTACCACTGTGAATTTGCAGGTGTAAACGATCTTAACAATTCTTTTACCCTTTTGGAGATCTGCCTAATTTAAGTCCAAATAACTTAACCCTTAAACCCTTTGAGTGGAAAGTATTGAAGTTCTCCTCACAACATCTCCCCTGAATCAAACTGTAAGGTCACAAGAATACAGGAAATGATCACCAACTAAAGAAGCTCTTGATTGTTAAGCAAATTCTCCTTGTCAACACCATAAGAAATGCACAGAGAAAAGTATGGAGAATATACATACTAATGTTAGGGTGCATGCAAAGGGTTGAAAGGTGTGAAGCCATGTTAGAAAATATAACCCTAAGGAACGTTAACAGTAGTGAAGATCACAGCTCAAAAAAACCAGTTCGTTAGGTTTCATTTCCCAATTTTCAAGATTATCATTATTTCGATTCTAAATGGAAAACTGGGCGAACAGAAGCAGTTTTTCAGGGCTGTTTACTAACGCTACTTTTCCGAAAAATATCCCTCATCTCTTATCATCGTCTGTGTTAATTAATTATCTGATCATCAAAATCTGTGACAAAAACTGCGTAAAGAATGTACGGTCATCTCAAGTTTTACAAGGTAAGCGTTCCTAAATTGAACGAAAGCTACAGACAAGTTAGTTTGAATTTGCAGTCAAATCGTCATTTTCATTTACGGAAACCAAACAAAAAATTATGTGGCCTGGAACTATGAGGAAAATAGTGATTAAGCATGCATGCAGATATATTTGTCCACATCAGTTGTTCTGAACAAAACAATGATACATTTTCGTTAAAACGTCATCGTTCGCTATATTTCTCAAACTGTAACTCTTTACTTTTGGTGAAAAATTAAACAGCAGACCTGCGCGTGAAGTTCTTTGTCCAGAAGGTTTATTCCATCTGCCAACCTGGCAAGCGACTCGCTGATGGCACGACTTTGAATTATGTTGTTTGCATATGTTCTGTCATCAAAATTGTCTTCCAAGAATTGCTTGAATGTTTCTGGAAGAGCAAAAACTTTTTCAACATACTATATTATATAAAGGGTTTAACCAGGTTGAAAGAGTTTACCATCATTTTGCAATAACTTCTCCAAGCTAGCGTCCATCTTGGAAAAAATATAGACATTAAGTGATGAATACACCACAAGAAATTTTTTATCAAAAAGTCCGCTGGAAATAATAAGCGCACAAGTAAAAGTCACATGTTTCCTGTTTTCCACGTCTACCAAACAGTCACGCAAACTCGGAAACTTAAAATGGCCGACGGTCGTCTGCAAGGCAAAGAAATTATTGTCACTGCAGCAGCGCAAGGAATCGGTCGTGCTGTTGCCGAAGAATTTGCTAAGGAGGGTGCTAATGTTTTAGCCACCGACATCAACGGCGAAAAACTCGCTGAACTGAACTCTGTCAAAGGAATACGAACCAAGATTTTAGACGTGACGAACTACGATGCGATTAAAGAACTGGTCAAAGATTTCTCCAAGTTAGACGTGCTCTTTAACTGCGCTGGGTTTGTTCATAATGGGTCGATTTTGGACTGTGAGGAGAAAGATTGGGATCTCTCCTTTGATATAAACGTGAAGAGCATGTATCGTTTGACGCGGCAATTTCTCCCCGTCATGCTCGCAAACGGTGGAGGAGTAATTATCAACATGGCCTCTGTAGCTTCAAGCATTAAGGGAGTTCCGAATCGTTTTGTGTACAGCACAACAAAGGGTGCAGTCATCGCCTTCACCAAAGCACTAGCAGCTGACTTCACCGCGCAGGGAATTCGTACCCATGCCATTTGCCCTGCCACAGTGGATACTCCTTCACTGCGAGGGCGAATCAACAGTGCCCCAGATCCTGAAGAAGCCATGAAGAAATTCCTGGCTCGGCAGAAACAGGGAAGACTTGGAAGACCTGACGAAATTGCAAAACTTGCTGTTTTCCTTGCGTCAGATGAGGCGCCTTACATGACGGGCTGTGAGCATATCATTGATGGAGGATGGATGCTTGGCTAAGTGCCTGTTGGTAGGGGGGAGGGGTGGGGTCACCGCTTAGGCCTGATATCTTGATCATTTCTAATTAAAAGAATCATCGATTTTCTGTCATGTGAACTTGTTCAAACTGATATTGAAGCAAACCCTAGTTAATTTTCTTAGTCTTACTGCCTTATTTTAGACTATCACTATTATCAAGACTTAGAAATAAATGAAATGGGTGGCAGGTGGCTTAAGATGGTGGCATAGCTTATTCAGTTAATGATTAATGTATTTTATCAAAGAGCTCTCAAAGTCAAAGAAAGATTCAGTTTATTTTCAGCATTGATATTTAGCTCTAATGTTGATACACTGTCTTGGAGGCAAATTGGTATCAGGAGGGGGGTGGGGAATGGTGAAATAAGGGATGACTCCTTCAGCTCTGCCATGCCCAAGGTTTGAAATTTAAATAGGGAGCCCTCCCTTAAACTCACCAATTTATTTTTGTCAATGAAATAGTTCTAACCCTTTAACTCTCAAGATTTGATTGTTAATTCTCCCCTCTAGCTGCTACACATTTACTTGCTGATTAGTTATGAAAATTTGGTGACAACTTCTGCCTGATAAGTCTGACTATTCTCATTACCTTTTTGCTGGATAATGTATGAATATTATGGGGAGAAGTTACATGCTAATCACTTCTGGGAGTTACATTAGCATGAACAGACTTTTCTTTCTGATTTCTAGGGCTTAAGTCAATGTATTTTAATGGACTGAAATGTAATGAAACAAATTTATTTTATTTGATGAACTGAGTATGTAAAAATAGACCAGTAAGATGTTTTCTACTATTATAGTAATTTTATTCAAACTCTTGATTGGTTCCAAGGACCCAAACATTGAAATAAATAAAATACTCCTCAAACTGAAAAATTCTCTTTAGTAATTTTTAGAATATTCATATTTTAGAGCATGGTGTTGTAGAAAGAGCATTTTTCAATCGTGCAGCAAGACACCAAAACCAGAGTAAATCACAACAGCCATTCAGAGACAAGGAAAATTTCACAAGGAACCAGTAAGAGCTCTGAGTAAAACAAGAAATTTGCATGAAGGGCAACAGAGTGCCAATTGCCGAGTCATGGCTGGTTTTAGGTTTGTCTCTGATTGGAGGGTAGAGGGTACCTATCACAGAGGAAAGGAGAGCAAACCCAATGGAATTCTAGATTTCTTTCAATACTCAATTTCAAATTGCGTTGGACGATCTGTGTACCTGTAATAGTGTAGTTTGATCGTCCGGGTGAGTGTAGTCCTGAGAATTGGCTGTAAGACTCAAGTGGTGTAGGTCAGTCGTGATTGGTCGGTTTGGATCCGTTAGTGAAGTTAGGTCGTTCTGTTCGGTTCGTTTGTAATTTTGATGTCGTGAATGAGTCGTTTGTATGGTGCCGGTAGAGGTTGACACCTGTTGAGGGGAGTCTGTTCCAAGTTAGTAAACCAGCTTTCCAGGGTCAATAACATCACGGCAAAACTGACCAATCAGTTTACACAAACCGGACTAAGTACATTCGACTGACAACAACCTTTCACTTGACTCTGATGACTTCCGCTCAGGTTGTCGAAACGTCAGTCACCATTACCGACAACAGTCCTTCTCGGGACTACACTCACCCGGACGATCAAACTACACTATTACATGTTACCCCCGGGTTCAAACCATTTACCATCTGTGTACCGCTGGCCACCATTTTACATCTGTGTACCGCTGGCCATAACACCTCTTACCGCTGTCTGTTTAACTTACGAGCATGCTCTCGTGTTTGTTTTTCAGCTTAAGCCTTTAAGCCCTAAGATTGATTAGTAACTAATTTCTCCAATCAGTATCAGCCCTAAAACAAACAATGAGGTCGTGAGAATAAAGGAAATGATCACCAACTAAAGAAGCTCTTGATTGTTAAGCAAATTCTCTTTGTCAGTACCATAGGAAATGTATAGAGAACAGTATGGAGAAAACGTATACTGATGTTAGGATGTAAAGGGTTAAGCCACCTATTCGGGCACAACCGCTTGTTACACTATCGGCAGCCGCTTATGAAAAAAGATATAAAAACTCTTGTGTTGTTTAAGGTCGGAGACTGATTTGTTTGAGCAACAAATGAATGCACACACTTGGTGCAGAGAAGACGAAAAATTGAAAATCGAAGTCTTTCGGATTATGATAAAGAGATTATGGGGTCCATCTACAGTGGGCAAGTGCATTTATTTGCAACAAATCATGAAAAAAAATTCCACATTTCTTTTTTTTGGATTAAATTTATTATCTAAATGGCTATGTTACTAAAATCGAAATGCAGTGAGGTTTCAAAAAACGGATACTTAAGCGAAATATAACAGTCACAAAAGCTAATGTGGAAAACGTATTAGAGAGAAGTCATGAGAGCTTGACAATCGTGCGCTGTGGATAATAAACCGCAGTTGCCGTGGCCCGACGATATTTTAAGATTTCATACTGCGCACAAAGTCGAAATTTGAAACTCAAAGTTTTTCCACAAATTAGAGAAAAGAAAAATTCAATTTCCAACAGCAGGCAAACTACAAAACCATATTTTTAAAGTTTGATAGAGATCAGTTTTGAGTTCCGTGGCCCCTTTGTGAGACCTTGAGCACCATAGTTTAATCCACGTGTTCCGTCAAGGCCCTATACTTTCAGAGTAAACTCTGTTAGAAAAATGCGCGTGCGTAATGTGCCGCTCGAGTGGGAAATGCGTGTACCACACTTAAATAGTCTACATCGTGCAAAATGAGATTGAGCATCGGAAAACTTAACGAGTGTAGATCTCGGTTACGTGTGTGCTTTGAAGCGTCACTTAAGTGGCTGGGCTGCGAGGGGTTCGTCGTTCATCCTTTTGTACAAAAAGCGCAAACAGAAGCGCTAGATGCTCTATTGTTATTGTAAAACAGTTGGTAGATCTTTACGACCGTTAATTTTTTGCGCATTCATCCATTGATCTGATTTCAAAGCAATTTCGTTTAAAAAATGGGACGATCAAAACAACATAAACGGAAGAATTACTGGTTTTATTCAAGCGCGCAATCTATTTAAACAGTGAAGGCAATCTTGAACATTTATTGAAGAATCAAAATTGCTAGTTTTGATGTAACGTGAATGCCGTTGAATCAGGATGTCTATTCACCTTGGTATGCATCTCTACGGAGTTGTATAAACAAACTTTTAGAAAGAGATCAGTTTAAAATCACCAGGTCGCGTAAATTCCAGCGCGATTATAATCAAAAACCTAGCGACCACGCTTTCCTCGACAGGGGGCAATAATATTCCAATTATCATTCGAATTGAAAAACAGGGAAAACGGCAGGAAACACAGTTGGAATAAAAACTTTATAACCACATTCTTTTTAACGGTTATTTTTCGTATACCGTGTCAAAATACACGTCTTAAAATACTTTTCAAGAGCCATTTGGAAAAGTGCCATTTCGATGCTATCAAAGAAATACGTTTTTTCAATATTTTACACAGTAGACAACCTTAAGTCTTTTTCTCGCTATTGCTTATTTTCTAGCAGGAGAAAATCGTTGCAAACGCCTTTCAGTCCGCAGACGATGTTGCACTAACGTATATAGAAAAGACACGTGTGCTAAGCATAACTGCATGTTCAACAGACACAATGATAAGTCTTAAAACTTCTCTTATTTACCTCTCTAAAGATTGTTCGAAGCACGTGTTTTCGGCTTAGTAAATAACAGACGATTTTCATGCAAAACCTTGGAAACTAGCCGTTAAGTTATTTATACTGTCAATTGTTTTATGGGTATTATTAAGAGGCAAACGTTAATTTAATTTTTCAAATTTGAACCCAACCCGTAGTTTGTCCACATGGGCATAACTTGCTTTCTCCTTCTTTTCAAAAAGAAAAGGAACATCTTGAATATGGCTTGAATACATGTTAGAAGTCCTCTGATTTACATCAGCTGAAAATGTCCACAAGAAGCTTTGATTCAACACAAATTTCATAATAAATTGGAATACCTGTGACAACGTAAATGATTGACAAATGAGATAAAACTCAGTTTTCTACAACTGTACATGATCAATCGGTTTTAAAACAGACTAAATATAAGCCTCCAGCTTCCATTTGACCGTCCACAATGCCTCGTTCGTCTGAAATATTCCTCGGGCAAACGGGGATGATTAAATGGAAACTAGTTCAAACGATCAATAACGACCCCTCCGATTAGAATGGCTACAACTTTCTAGTTAAAAGCGATAATCGCCTAAAACGCCCAATCCTCCCCAAAAATGAGCGATCGAGCCTTAATGTTTAAAGTATACACCTCCTATGCGCTATTTTCTGACAAGAAAACCTCGCATTTCTTTTCTTTTCCTAGCAACAGTTGAAAGATGAAGTAGTGTCTTCCACCTACACTAGCAACTTCTGTCCATGACAATTTCAAGTTCTTCTACTGAGAACTAACTTCAACGTTTTACAACTTGGAGCCTGTCAAACGGAAGAAACGCTTCTTTTGCTATTCACAATGCCGAGCGAAAACTTGTCACATCAAGAGATAATTATAACTTGCTAACGGGGGAATTCGGCTTTAAAATCACACGAGACGATCACTTCCCTGGGTAAAAGGGTGGAAGCGGCATCTAAAAAAGCTTTCGAGCTACGAGCCGAAGGCGGGTGATCTACGAGATATTTTAGTGTTCTCCCAACACCATTAAAGACTTGTCATGTCAGCAAACTAATGGAAAGCGCTATTTTATGAAATAAGTTTGAAAGATATCAACAGAAGGTCTTAGTTTTCTCAGTGGGCCAACAATTAACTAAAAGGTTTAAGCCGCGAATTCTCATTCATTTTAAAGGGAGAAAGTTTTTTTTTTTGCTCCCATTCTAAATATTTCTAAGCAAAGGAGGAGTGTTTGCTCTCAGGCTTGAAGTAGTCAATCCTCTTCTTTTCATTCGTGGTGGTGTAAGAACACAAAGAAACAATTACACAAAGGCTTTAAGGATCAAATAATTTTATTTAAAACTGCCACGCAGCATAACTTTTGTCGATAATAAAATCTTTTTTAAAAATTTAAATACGTTACGACTATTTACATAGTAAATATTCAAAGTAGGCTCTTCTGGATAAATCATTTGCAAGAGGAAAAATCTCTCGATGTCGGTTGTTTTGAGATCATTTTCTAACATTGTAGATTTATTTCAGCGTTCACTGATCACCAAGGACGCCATAGCGGTGTCTTTGTAGTGGCGCTTGGAGAACTCGCGGGCGAGATGCTGATTTTCTGTGTTTGAGCTGCCGATGGACTGATCGGGGATGGTATTCTTGGCATTTCAGTTTTAATTGGACTTGTTAAGGGATTAAAAATTGTAGGTTGGTTTGTGGGAGATGGCGGTGGTGAAGGATATGGAACCCAGACGGTGTTTGGCGCAATGGCGGGAAAACTCTGAGTCATGGCGGGAATCCCTGACGCGTGGCTCGTGGCGACATGATTAGTGGCGTTGCTATGGTAGCATGAAGCCAAGTGTGACAAGAGTTTTTCCCTGAGCTGCTCGCTTCCTTCACTTGTCATACTCCTGTTGAC